TGGGCTGTGTGTAGCACAGACGAATAGATACTTGGCTTATATTTCAGATCCTCTTTCTCATGTCAGGCTGTCTCTGTCTCTTTGGTATATTGAAAATTTTTGATGAAATCCTCTTACTCCACTGCTTCCTTATTGAAACTCCCCCTTTGTCTGGCAAAATTTTAATTACTACAGCGCTGCATAACTCCATTCATTGCTTCGATACTACTTTGGTGAGATGTGCAAAAGCAATTCCTAAGCTAGAAAGCAAGTATAATACTCTATCATTATGTCTTCTTTTATGGCTCCTAGCACCCTCTTTATGACTGCTAATATATTGTGTGCCTTTCTCTTATTGAGTCCTGCCCTCCTTCACTCAATGTGTCCTTTTTCTCACCCAGAGAATTAACACCCCATCTCTGCTATCTCTGCTTTCCTGCTCCCAGACAGAAAGTAGGGAAGTTCTCTTCTCCTTGTCATGTTATTCTTTCCCATCTCTCAAAGACAGGAGTCTGCATAATGCTCTACATCTTCCACAACATAATTATCAGCCAGGATGCAATTGTCTGCGCTCCGTGTTCCTGCATGGTGCCAAACGCAGTGGGTGAACCTCATACAGAAGGCAGAACAGGAATGCTGAAATCTTCAGAGGAATATGGGGAAAATCAAACTATGCAGGCTTAAATATACCTTCAGACAGGAAAGTACAACTTCTCTGGGAGATATTTTCTGTGAAAACTGTGGTTTTCCATTAAATTGTTACACACTGGCCTCCTTCCACACTCCCACTCACTGGAGCCTTTCTTTAATGCTTCTTCCAGACCCGAGCCTAGGCATTCTCCCATTGTTCATCTCACCAGAAACCATGTTCCCATTTACCCTTCTCAGCCAAACTTCATTCAAATCCCACTGTACTCCCTCCTTTTCCTGCTAAAGGTGTATTACCTACAAACTGCAGGACACAGAATATAACGAAGCATCAGTGATGACTGAGACTAACGTCTGCGAGTAACGTGATTGATGAGATCTGGTATCCTGCAACCATCCTTCAACCATCCTGCCAACCATCCTTCCCATCACACAGCTGGTCTGGTAGAAACTTTTACCCACTTTTACCTGTATTTGGGTACTTTTAACAGTTCTGTTCACTATGAAACCTCCTATAACTTGTTTGGGATCATGCTACTAGCCACTCTGTAGAAGAACTAATTTGAATGCTATTCAGTTGCTGTTTCCACAGCTCCTCTCTGAACTTACCATCTCTCAGACCTTTAACCTTCTGTTAAATTTGGCTGAAATTGGAGACTGACAGATGGATGCATTTTCCTCACAGCACAACTGTGAAACATGATTTTATCTGGAAAATATAGTTTAAAAAAGATGCAGGCAGAGGAAAAACACCTCCTACTTTTTTCCCCATTGTAGGTATACATACATAGAAAACAAATGGGGACCAAAGACCAGAGAACAGCAATTTCCAAGGGTACTAGAAAAACGAAAAAAAAATATCTTCATGGGTTTTTCTGAGCCAACATGACAGAGGGAGAGCAGATCCTCCTTTACTCTAAGAGTGAAATGAGTGCACATGACAAGCAACAAGGGTTTTAAGCAAATCCGTGTGCCGCTGTCCTTGCTGAGTCCTGCCAGGAGCAAGGACAAGATGGCTGCAGAATGTCCTGTGGTCTTCTTGGGTCCACCTTCCACCTTGTTTCTTTTCTCCTCTTGGCCACTGGCATTTCCCCTTGCAAGGTCATCTGTCCCACTGCCTTTCTGCCTGCAGGCACAGCAGCCAGGAAAGAGGAAGGATGTTTCTGGCACTGAATATTCACAGGTGTATTCTGAGCACTCCAAGCGTTTCATAGCCATTGGTTCTGCTGCGTTGTGGGCTCTAGACCCTGACTTCTATTGACATTAAATAGCCATTAAAAACAAAAGAGGTTCTATTGCAGGGCAGGTGGAATTTTACATGTGAACTATACAGGAAATTTATCGCATGCTTTTCATTTAAAATTCCATTTGAGAATTAATAGTAACGGCCTCCCTTTTAGCTGGTCACCTCCACTTCTGCTGTCACAGCAGCAGTATAGCTCTCACTACCAAAAGCCTTAAGGGGAACAGGTCAATAGAAAATCTCTGCTCTATGCTAACACATTTCAACACCTGAGAAGCAAAAAAAAGGAGCAATTAAGCACAGTAAAATAAATAATTCAATAGTTAATTCAACCTGCCAGGTTGTGGAGTTTTTTTTTTTTTTAATATCCTACCAGATTGTATTTTAGTTTAGAAGTGTCCCTGGAGAGTTATGCTGTGAGAGCCTGTAAATGCTACATTGCGTTATAAGGCAAAAGCTCACCCATAGTGGGGCAAGTAATGTTTAAAGAAAAAGGTTTTTTGTTTGTTTGTTGTTGTTGTCATCAGAATTCTGAATATTTCATGAGAAAGTGACGAGGTCTTTCTCTGATTCCTTACGAATTAATCTGCCAACTGATTAAGCAGGTAAAGCAGGCACAGAGTGGAAGACTAAAATTGCACTGCAGGTACATGACTGTGAGATGGAACACAAACCAAACAGAAAGTTAATGCTCTTTTCTGTGGCAAAAGAATTGGCTGTTTTTTAATTGCCTCACAAATAATCCATAGACAGCTTTGAGTGGGAGTAATCCATGCAGCCTCCGAATACATGGGTGTATTTTGTAAATGGAGGAAAATATTCATGCACTATAAGGTTTTGCAGGAGAACAGAACAGCAGAGCTTTAACAAGCTACTCCCTTGCGACTACCAAGTTGGTACAGCTCTGGGGCAGGGATAGAGTAACCTGATGGGAAAAAAAGAAAGCAACCCAGCTTGAAAGGCTTCCAGTTCCTCCTTGTAAAAGGAAATGAGATGAAAATTGAAACAACAGGCCAACATGTGAGTCCTGATGGGCAGAGTTAAAACTAGGAGGGAACAGGCAGAACAACGATGGAGATGGCTGTCAGCAGCCCCAGAGGCTGAAGGGAACAGGCGAAATAGAAGAGAACACACTGAGCTTCCACATGTGACTCAAAACAAGGCAATACTTTACACTTCTGGTATATGTTTGCTATTCTCACCCATCCTCTGCAGCTACTCTAGAAGCCAAGTGGTCTAGAGAGGCTGCACAAACCTGCTCAACAGTATTAGTGAGACTTGTTGAAAGGAGAGTACACCTGGGAGGATGCAGTAAATGCAAACACTTTTTAATCTCAGGTATACTCTCATTTTCTGAGTAGTCCAGGTTCTTTCTACACTGATTTCAACTCTTCCTGACCTTAATGCAAAGTAAATTTAAAATGATATGTATACATCAAAACAAACAAACAAACAACAACAACAACAAAACCAAACCAACCAACCAACCAAAAAACAAACAACAACAAAAAACTTTTTCTGACTACTGACATCACTGCCTAGTTTCTCTGGGTAGAGTACATCAGTAAAACCTCAATTTACCATCCTTTACAGAATGGGTTACTGTTCTTTATAGAATGGGCAACAAAACTCAAAAAACTGCAGTTCAGAGCAGAAAAAGCACTGGGAACATGATCTCACCAGCACCAGGCTTCAATGCATGGTTCTGCCTGGTAGCAGATATTACCCTGAATGAACTTTTGCAATGATTTGAAAAATCCAGATGCCTTAAAAGTAAATAAATAAACAACTTAGCTCTTAAGCTTCTAGAAAATTACAGTGACAGCTATTATAGACTTTGATGGGGAAAAAGTAGGGTGAATATAAACCAGGTGCCCTACAAGGCTTACTTTATTGCATCTTCATTTTTCAAAAGATATTCATGAACATATAAAAATAAACACTCCACTCCTTTGCAATTAAATTTCTCTCTGGTTGCAAGTACAGCTATTTTTAGTTTTAATTTGAGGATATCTCCCAGAACTGCAGAGTATAATCAGTTCCATCATAACCCTGCATCATCATTATCAAATACCAGCCTGTCTTTGGAAAATACAAATTTTACATACTGAAGGTCCCAACAGCCATTTTTCAGCTGACTGTACAGATCAGTTTCTTCAGGCCCGAGGTCTAGTAATGCCAAATATTGGCCACTAAGTGGTGCTACTAAGATTTACTGCAACTGTAGATCTGGTCCATTAAGCTCAAATCTGTGCTACCCACAGTCAATGCCTCTCCCTTCCAAAACAAAGAGGATGAGGAAAGGCATGCTAATTTCAAGCCCCATTAAAAATATAGGAAATAATTTCACGTTTCCCTCAATTGTAAATGTAAGAATATTTATGAAGAAGTCAGATTTATATTCAAGTTTTTAAGAAGAAAAAGAAAATGACAAGCAGATAAAATAAAAGTACTTGAAAGCATGCATCTGCCTCGAGCCCTGAGCCTCCTTAATGGTATCTCCATACTTGTCTGCTTTGGAGGCTTTCCATTCATTGTGGTTTAAATTACTTTCCTCTCCACTAAGCTGTACTGGAGCAGAGACAACAACTTTTTTTTTAATGGAACTTGCAGCCATTGGAGAAGATTGTTGACAGTGTTGCAATAATAATAAGTATTCATAGAATCATAGAATAGATTTGGTTGAAAGGAAGCCTTAAGGATCATCCAGTTACAACACCCCTGCCATGAGAAGGAACACCTCCCACCAGACCAGGTTGCTCCAAGCCCCCTCCAACCTGTCCTTGAGCACTGCCAGGGATGGGGCAGTCACAGCTTCTAGGGACAGCCTGGGCCAGTGCCTCACCACCCTCATAGTAAGGAATTTCTTCCTTGTATCTAATCTAAATCTACCCTCTTTTAGTTGAAATCCATTACCCCTTTTCCTATCACTGTACTCCCTGATAAAGAGTCCCTCTCCAAATTACATTATTCAAATATAATTGCTAATGTGAAAACACCAACCTACAGTTGTCTCATCCATACAGTTCTTCAGCTCCCCAGTTGCTGAATTAATGTCTTTCACAGCCCTTGAGACATAGGGCAAAATCTAATAGCACTGCTCTCCCTGTAGGAATAGCCAAGAACTCACCAGCCAATGTTGAATTCAACATGAGCATCAAAGAACCCGACAACAGGAGAGGTTGCAGCTTTCCAGCCTTGGATTCTGGCTCGAATCAGTCCTTCTCGCTTGTTATTGCGCACTATTTTCACCAGACCTGGGTATCTTTTATTGACATACTGGTCCAGATTAAATTTGAGCTCAACTGCAGGGGAAAAAACAAAAAACATTAATGATAAGAAAACATAGCTTTGTAATGTAATGCTTTACTTTGATTTATTCTGCAACAGAAAGGGAAAGAAGTCCTTACATATTCCTAAACTCTTTGTCACTTTCACAGACACAAACCAAGTACCACAGCTGTGGGACAGACCAGTTCCAGGGGTATCAACCCAGAATAATTCTCTGCACATTAGAGCAGATACTGTTAGACTTGCAAAGCTTTAATACGGCAGGAAGGATTTGAGTGTTGTTTTGAAGAGATAGTTTGTCTACATATTTTAAAATAATTACTCATCTAATTCTCTGATGATTTTCATTAGGCTGCAACTAGCCTCTGGAGGAGCAATTCTGAACTTATAGCAGAGTAACGTGGGAGTCATTGGTGATTTTTTTTTTTTTTTTTTTTTTAGTCTGAATTATGCTATTCAATAAGAGTTTGAAAAATAACCTCAGTGGATTTTGGGTCAAGACCTAATTCAGATCAGAATTAATTTCCCTTAATTCTAAGTTTTCCCTTAAATACAATTAATATTCTGCAATACAAGGCTTCTTCCCCATTAAACTAAATGGATCTTGAAGATTTCAAATAGACTTATCTCTTTTTTCATTTTCAGGCATTCAACCACAGATAGAGCTGAACTCATTCACTCCTTTATTCAGCTTCATTTCAATAGGCTTATAAACAGGCAAATTACTAAAACAGTCTCCGTATTTTTTTAAAATCAATCTAGTTTGGTAATTCATTTACACTACAACTTATTCATAATGAGGCTTTTACTCAAATATATTTATTAGGAAAACTAGTAGAAGCTTCCATAGCATTAGAAGCCTCATTCTTCTGATCTATATTACACAGTAGAATCATTATCATCCAAATCAAAGACCTGATAAATCTCCAGCTATCTAGAAGAATGACAGAGAAAAGCCATATAAGAGTTCACTGAGAAACAATGAGACCAATTCTCTTCTGCATTACGCTGACTGAAACACTTTGCAATCTCATGTAATTACTCCATAGGTTACACTGCAGTAACTGAAAGCAGAATTGGACAAAAGCTTTCTTAAAACTATATGTTCTGAGGATTATTTGTGTTTCAATGATTTGTTCTCTCAACCCTCTTTTCTATTTGGGTATTTTGAAGAAGAATGGCAACTGAAAACTGGAAGATTTAAAAAGCTGTTGAGCTGAGGAGGAAATGGTAAAAATGAGCCTTTTTTTTTTTTTTTTTTTTTTCTTTTTAAATAGGACTTGAGAAGCTGGACAGTTCTAGAAACAAAATGCAACAACATTGCTGGTCATCTGTATCCTAAAGGCAATTCCAACCCATCCCATAAAACATATTGACTGATTAACAGCACCCTACATGCTCACCAGTATTTGGAATTTTGATGGCTATAACATAAGTGCTATTTTTACATTAATGAATTACATGACCTGAAAGTTGCATACACTTTTTGCTCATTCTGTTGTTGCATTTTCACAGCCTAATTTATTTTCTACCAATTAAAAACAAACAAACAAACAAACAAAAACAACTCAAAATCTGACATTACAACACATGTAAGTGTGAAGGAGCAAACTGTGTGTCCACATAAAAGAAATGATCTTCAAGGAGAATCTGTAACCCCACTTTTCTTTGGAAACAGAATTTAAACTTTTGGTCTATTAATGATGGTATTGCACTGGATCTGCAAACTTGGAGAAAAGTGTTGTTTCTATATTGAGATTGCCTATACAAATGCCATTCATTCTGTGAGGATTCCAATGAAATCAGCAGGGTTTATCCATATAATATTTATTTTTTATATAAATAGCTAATATTTACTGACATGTTTGTGCAAGTGGCTCAATGAACCATCTTATCAAACACAAGCTCTTCCAAATAACGTACTTCAGGGAAGTACGTTAATTTACACCAACTTAAGATCTGATTATTAGCCAAAAACCAAGGGTTGCATGTATGAATTTCCTCCTCTGGCTGTGTTTAAACACAGAGTGACCCACTGCTGTTTCATCCCAACATTAAAAAAAAAAAGGATGCATGTAATGTAGAAGTGACCGAACTCCTTTTGATCTATGTTTCATGTCCCTTGGTGACACAGGATATAGAACTTAGAGGAAAAGTTACTCGTGTTCACCATTGTCACTGTTGTCATCCACCAGAATGATCTCCTTAAGCAAGTGCGAGGGGGTGTGATTCACAACGCTGTGCACGGAGCGCAGGATAACAGACAGTGCCTCGTTGACAAAGATAAAGACCACGGAGATCTGGGGCAGGTCATCTGGGTAGGTCATCTGCTTGCACCTGAAAAGAAAAAAAAAAAAGAATTAAAATCCAAGCAGCCAGTGGGAGGCAAAATACACTGAAGAGTATCCTCTTATCCTCCAGCATACAGGTAGTTGGAGACTTTCTTCGTTCTAACCCCAAAAAAAGAAGGGGTAAAAGCTGAAAAGAAGCAACATAGCTAGAAACAGCCATGTTTCCACCAACCAAGTGAAAAGCAAAGTGTATGTGTACACACACGCATTTTTAACGATCTCTATACTGGAAGGTTAAAAGCATCTCTTGAAAAACAAAGGAGTATTAATGACTTTGCTCAAGAATATCCTGAAGTGGGCCCACAACACTATAGCTTGCCTGTGCTCCAAGGGCACCCATCAGAAAGTCTCCTGCTAACTTGTAATTAGAACTTGTACTTTTAAAACTAGGACCTGCTCAAGCAAACTCTGCCTTTGCCCAAAGAGCACGTGCCTCCTTTCTGATTCTGTAGCTTGTGTAGCAGTAACAAATGCACAGTGCTTGTTGAATAGACATGCACCTCCTGAAACATTTGCAGAATGAATCTGCTCCATCTACGATGTCATCTTGGTATGCAGCTACTACCCACTTATGCATTTTACCGAAGACCATGCTGAGAGGAAAAACTGAGGCCTGAAGAAGGGAGCTGGTAAAGTCACACAGCACAGCACAGACTCTCTGCTTCCCGAGCCCCCCAGTCCATGCCCCATGTATCACCACACCACCTTATCCCAGTCCATGCCCCATGTATCACCACACTGCCTTATTGCAGTGGAATTCTCTTCCACTAGCAAAGAGACTAACTTAAAAAATTACCTACATGTTCTCACAGTCAAAAGCCATTCCAAATTACCATAGAAATTACTGAACCTGCACTCTAAAATACTGCTAATTGTATTACACGGAATGGCTTTTCCTGCTCTTATCAAACTTTCTGACCTCCTGCTCATTATCTTGGCATAACAATCATACTTCACTACCAGCAGTCAGAAGGGTGGAGAGGGTGACAACCACTTGACTGTTGGGTAACCTTTGGAAATGAGTTATGAATTCTAGTAAAGTGTGATTATTTGTAATTCCTTCTCATCCCAGCACCATTTGCACAGAGACGTGAGTACCTGTTATTGATTACAGCGTTTCCATAGCTGCTTACCAATGGCTTGCTGGTGGCCTGTACCACACAAAGGACCACTGTGTAAAACTCCTGGCTAAACTGCATTCTTACACAATCTAAAAATACACCTGGAAGAAAGACAAAGATTTACAGGAGGTGTGAATGCTCCTTTTTGAATTTCTTTTTGAATGTGATTTTCCTCTTGACCACACCAACATATCAAAGAAGTCCATTAAGAATACTTCAGGAACATGAAAGAGCCATCAGCTAAAAGCATGGACCTTGCAAGATTTCCCCTGATGAGGGACATCTTTGATCTGACAGCAATTTGCTTCAGAGCCTCACTTCTATCAGCAGGACATAGCAAATTGCATGGCAGTAAATCAGGCTGGTAACCGAGGAGCAGGTGAGCTGCCAGTGGAAGCGAGGCAGAAGACAGAGCCCAGCCCAGGCCAAACATCCTGGTGGGATCCTGTGTGCGGGCTCAAAGCTGGCAGGGAAGAAGAGAAGCAAAGAAACCACGCTGAAGTCTGGGGGTGGCAGGGAAACTGAGGAGGAAGTGCAGCGGGAATGAGAGGGCAGCCAAAGCAGCACTTGGAGAGAAGAGGGACAAGCAGAGGGAAGGTAAGATGAACAAAGACATCAGAGGCAGAGAGGCATGTGCAGAGGACTGAAGTATTCTGCCTAGGAAAAGACTGGGAACCACTAAAATAGCACAAGACTTCAGTGGTTCAGACTGGGCTTTGTCTTTGGCTCAAGACATTTTTGCTGAATCTTTCTGGAATAAGAAGTATCTGTTTTCCTGGTAAGCGGACTGGAAGACCTGTTGTGGATCGCCCAGCCACGCTGGATGCTTTTGCTAAAAGGCTGTTTTGAATTTGTTCTCTCTCCTGGGTGAAGTCACTCCTGTAATTTCTCCTTGCAGCCTTCCTTCCATATGTTCTCCCCTTCCTCTGTTAGCAGGAAGTAGCTGAAACACTGCATCATGCTGTAATTGGAGAGAGTGCTCCAACCATCACACATTAGAATATCTTGGGTAACACAGCTACGGCAGGAACATCCAGATGGGCCAAGACAAACCTCAGGATTTAGCAGTGGATTAAAAGCTGGCATAGCTTATTACAGCAAGAATGAAGAACAGCAAAAGAAGCTATTCCCCTGAGTAAACTTTTCAATCTACAGCAGTGATTCAGGAGTTCATTTCCTGAAGACTTCAGTCAACCTTGGACTCCCAACTCCTAAAGTCACTTCAGAAAATGAGATGGATGTGCTGAAGCAGTCAGCAGAAAGTACTGGCCTACTAACAAACACTTTTTATGATGTCTGAGACCACCAGCAATCCCAGTCAGGGGCCTTTCCTTAAAAATCACTGGGTGCTTAAGTGCTTTGCTGGATTGCTGCCCAAGCTCTTCCCAATGTATTCAGTAATTAGATCCCAGACGCAGCAATTTACAGTTAATACTTCCTTCATTCCAAGAAACTCTAACCAGCAGCTGACACTCGGAGCCAAACAGTGCCATTAGCAAGTCACACAAAGAGTTACCCTACCATCAACGTGCAGCTGTGCCCACCATACCCTTACAGCACCTCTGCTGCTTTGCTCTGTCTGGGTGCTAACAACTGACATTGCAACAGAGCATTCAGTCCCTTGTGCCTGTGTGCAGAGCTGAGAAAGTCAGAGTGTCAGGAGGAGGTGTAAAGTCAAAAAAGAGGTCATTCCAGAGATGTCCAGAGATGTGTGAAATGGCGGTGTTTAAGGCAGCACTTCGAGGGGAGCTGGAGCTTGGCTGCCCTGCTCGGGGAGCCCACAGCTGCACCACCCAGCCCTGCACCCTGCCAGGGAAGTGGGCGGGTGCTGCTGTGCTCTTTATTTCTCTGCACTAGGTCTGATCACATTATGAACTGTGGCTACCGAACGAGGGAGGACAATTACAGTATTGAAAGCCGAATTAACATCTGTCTAACACTATTGATCTGGGGAAGAACTTAGGCATAAATTTAACCTATGCATCAGTTAACAGTGGTCTAAGCTAGCCAGGCATGGATCATGTTTAATATTACTGTGATCTTAAATTACTATTGCAAGCTGTCTCGGTGCACACCAGCAAAGAACTTCAGAGCTGCACAAGGAGCAGCGTCTCTCCAGGGCAGATGTCCATTCTGTAGAGAAACACACCACTGCATAGGTTTATGACTAGAGGTTCCAAGAAAAGGCTGATGATGCCACAGCTAATCATTTCCATGGAGCAGCCGAGGATGGATTAGACCTGATATGTGAAACAACCCTTCAGGCACCTTTCGTACAACACACTAAGCATCAAACCAGAGACATCCTGCGGTTGTCTTGGGAAGAGTCTTTGAGAGGTCCTGCTCTACACTGCCTACTGCAGAGCCTGGCTAGAAACCCAGAGGTATCTCCTTTGCACATGACAGAGAGCTTGATGTCACATCATTTTCCTCTACCCTGGAGAAGGTTTTCACTCATTCTATCCCTTGCATTGAACCAATTCCTTAAATGAACATTTTTGAGCCAGCCCCCTGAGCCCAAATACGAGCGCTGTCTATGCAGGCACAAGAGCAATGAGTACAGGAGTGAAGGCTTCAGTTGACAGACCAGAACCTTGGAAAAAAATCAGGTACTAACACAGAAGAGGTCACAGATTAGAAACTGGGACAATGAGAAACAAAAGCTTTTCAGCTGAACATCAGCCTGCTTATGACAGCCCTGTGAGCTTGTAGAGAAAAGGAAAAGAAAATTCATTTTCTTTATACCTTCATTCCACAACTGTTGTATTTCTTCTACTTGCATCCAATCCAACAGAAAAACGTGACCTCTCTTTATCAGCAGGTCTTATAGTCTGCTCAAGTTGCACTATTTTTTGTAAACAGCTGACACTACTGCGGTGCTGGTAGTTCAGGGGATTACCAAGGAAAGGAAAATTTCCTCCTCTCTTTCTCCTGCTTTCTCTCTTTTCTGCATATGCGCTAACATCAAAAATGAGTTTTGCTTGTAGACCTTAATATACTGAGTTTAGAAACGGATTAGGCAATACATTTAGAGATTTCTGACAGCTTTACCCTTCAGGAAGAAATGCAAACAAAATTAAAGCTGCATCATGAATCTTAAAGTATTTAATACAAGACATGTTTTTCCAATGAACCACTGGGATGTAGAAGAATGTGGGTTTCCCTCCTTCACAAAGTTGACTGGGCATGCAGAACTTCCTCTGCAGTCGCAGCACAAAAGAGCCCCAAAAAGCTCCATGCCTTGAAAGCTGCAGAATGGTCTGTGTTTGTGTTTTAAAGGCACAGCAGGGGAAGAAGCAGGAAGGAAGTTTCTTTTTCTTTTTCTTTTTCTTTTTTTTTTTTTTTTTTTTCCCCAAGAAATATGCTGAGCTTTTGCAGCTAATGCTAGATGTATTAGTAACTTTCCAGATGCAGAAATATGCTATCATTACTTTTTTGTTGTTCTGCACTGGCAAAACAGTGAAAATGTGACAAATTACAAATATCTCCTTTCCCAGCATGGGACTCAAGTGCTGACCAGTCCATGGAAAAAAGCAATGACAGGCTACAAAAGTGATTAGCTTTATGGATCATGAATCTGTCAGGCAGAGGGCTCCAACTCCTTCCTAATTAATTCTCCTTCTCAACAGAAGGCGTTAACTGTGCAACGACATAACACTCTTTTTCTACTGAGGATGGATTTTTCTCCTCTATATGAAAGGAAAAAAAAAGAGAATCAGTAAATGGTTGAGTTTGAGAGTCGCTCTTTCTTTTTCTTCCTGTTTTGCAGCTCAAGGATGACTTTCTGTAAGAATCAAGTAATGAAAAGACAACTAACAAGGGAGCACAGTGCACTGATACTCTGCATATCTCGAGAGAAGAGGAC